TCCTGGTTGCCGAGTTGAAAGTGGGTGACAAAATGCACTCACTTTGCACACACACACACACACACAAACACAGACAGCCTCTCGACAATATGCGTTTTTGCTGGCTGGGCAAAAACGCATAAAAAACCAGTTTTTCTACAGAGACTGTCGCGGCTATTAAAGAAACTGAAATTGAGCCAATTAGCGCGACTGCGTTACCAGCAACGGATGAGCGACACGCTTCAGTGGATAGCGATCGCAGGAAAAAATTGCGCATCCACTTAGATGGCCTAGAAGATCTAAAAATTTAGTCAAGAGGTAAAAGGAGTACAAAGCGTTTGTCCTTCTGGGTGCAAAAGATACAAATCGCACTTTTTCGAACAAAATGAGCAGTATTTTAGTATCTTTTTTATGCTTCATTTACATACTCTAGTTACATCCTTACTCTTAAATATATTTGTTCTTGGAAATCTGTACTCCTGGAAAAAACCCAGTATAAGTTGCAGTGCACCTTCTCCCAAATGATCACCGCTACGATGGAGCATTGGAGAATCACTGAGTCCGAAAAAAAAACTTTAAGAAAGTGTGTACTCAGAACATTTCCGCCCAGAAAAACCGAAATGTTCAGCAGTGAAGATACTACCTGTATTACCAGCAAGCGATGCGTCTTTGTTTGTGGCTACTTTGGCAAGACCGGCAGCTGTTTTGATAACACTGCGCATCAGCGAGTGCTACCCTTGACAATTAAACAACTACTCGGACCACTTGTGATAAAATGGCGCACACAGGTTTGAAAGGCCCTGGGTACCAACTAATAATAATCAGCTCAGAATCATGGCTACAGATGGTGTATGGGAACAGATCAGTAATATCGTTAACACAGGACACACACCGATTGCACGGCGGTCTTGGTATTATAAAAATTTGGTAAATTTAAATGCGGTTCCTGAAAACAATCGTATTTTGAGAAAGGCATTAATCCGAAGGCACTACCCCCCGAAAGAAGAATTATTGGCGAGGCGCACTGGGCGGGCCCGCGCGATCACGCGTTTTTGCAGTGTTTCGTGCTGTAAAAAGATCACTCGAAATTCCGCTAGCTAGAACCTCTGACACATTGGTCCTCGAATTTCAGGAAGTTAATTGTTCACGCTATACTTGGACAAGGGACATTCCCTTGAAATCCCAGGTTTCCAGCTTTCCCAGTTCCCGAGTTACCCGAATCCCAGCCAGAAAATTTCGCGGGGCCGTAC